GGGGGGGCCCAGACGGAGTGAAGCCCCCCCCCCGAGGCAGGAGTACTACTACCTCTATGCCTTGGGGAGGGCCAATTCCTGTGTGACCTTGGATAGTGAGCTGCCCTCTCTGAGCCTCAGTTGCAGTACTTGTAAAATGGGAAAATGGCACTTCCACCTCTTGGGGCTTCTCCGTGAGATGGGGCGCGCTGGCTCTACGCTCTGTGCCTAGTGAGCGCTGAGTGACAATTCTGTTATTTAAGGACGGGAAAGGTAGGCAGGACCGCAGAGGTCATTTCAGTCCTGCCCAGGGCCTCCCGCTATTCCTGGGTATCCCTCCCCATTTTCATCATCTCTGTCTCCTACCTTTTCTCCGCGTCTCTGGAAGCTGAACCCCCGGAAAGTTCCTGTCCCATCCCCCGTACCCTCCAGTGCGGGGGATTCCTGCCCTTTCACTAGAGGCTGCTTCCTCCTCGGTAGGAAGGACACCCGTCCCTCTTGCCCAGCCCCATTTGCCTCTTTGGACACTGCATTGGATTCTTTAGCTAAGTTCTTTCATCTTAATGTTATCTTTTACTGTCTCACCTCCTGAGGGTTCCTTTACCCAAGCAATTTATTTTTTTGCCTTTAACTTTTCTTTCACTTTCTACTCCACTGCTTCAGGTAACTTATCCAGTTGGCTTTACTTTAACATCTTTATCTTTCAAGGTTATCCTTTCAGCTGTTTCTCTATCAGAAAACCCCAGAGCCCGCCTCTGTCTCCATTTTTCTCCCTTTTATGACTCAGAGGGCTTTAGAATATCAGAACTAGTGGTATCTTCCCAACCTGCCTCACACTCTGAGCCTCCAGCTCTGAAGTGGATTCAGGGAACAGAGTCGCTGGGCCCTGCAGGAGGACCTCAGAACTGACCACCATTCTGCCCACTACCCTACAGTCATCCCAGACAGGGCCTGCTGACTTGACCTGTCCTTAACGCCACCTTCAGTTGCCCACAGCAGCAGCCTTCCCAGTGGACTCCCTGCTCATGGTAGAGCCATCTCTTCTGAAGAGAAAGCTCAGGCTCTTCTCTTGGCCCACAAGGCCCAGTCCCAACTGGCCCCTCCAACCTCTCTAGCTGTATCTCTCCCCATCCTCCTCCCCAGCCTCAGCCTCTCTGGCCCCTTTCACTTTCCCAAACTTTAAGGAGTTTCTGTTCACTCTGACAGAGTGCTTTTCTACCATCTGCCCTCACCACTCCTCTGTATGGAGGAGGTCTCAGCTTCGAGTACCACCTCCCCCACAGAAGGCTTCTCTGATACACACCCCACCTCCCCACCACCCCACCTCCCTCTCCCCTGGATTGGGTTCCCCTGGGGCACTTTCAGAGGACCCACTTCAGGGAGAAATGTGTTGGTGGGGATTTTTAATGTTTTTCATGCCCACTAGACTGTGGATTTTGCATGGGTAGAACCGTTTCAGTCTCATCACCTTGGTAGTCTCAGTCCCTAGCCCCAACACGTTTTTTGAATAAAGAATGAACATGTGCCCCCTGTTTGGTCTTCCCTGATGCTCTGCAAAGGTCCCTCATAGTTCCCACCCAGCCCCTACATGTGGCCTGTCTCCTCAGGGGTGGTATCAGGTGCTGTGTGAGGAAGATAGGTGACTATGGCCCAACTGACAAGCTGAGGCTCTGAGGGACTCTGGCTGGGGTACAGCTTCCCGATGCTATTGACTGATCAAGTAGCCTGCACCATCAGGCAAAAATAACTTAACAGGCAAAAGGAAACAGACATTTAAGAAACACAGACATTTCCAAAGAAAACATCTATCAGGAAAATGATTAGAACGCATGGGTCAAAAATTCAAATTCGTTTAACAAACATATTAGAAAAGACAAGGTAGAATATTAGCAATATGAAACAAGAAAATACAAAAAAGAACAAGCAGAAATATAAGGTAGAGACAAATATAATTATTCTAGTGATCTATTGCTACATAACAAATTATCCCAAAACAACAATCAACAAAAACATTTATTTGCTCACAAATCTGCATGTCAACAAAAGCTCCACACAGCTTCAGTTAAAGTCAGAGGATTCTCTTTCAAGATGACTCATTGAACATGACTAGCAAGTTGTTACTACTGGCTGTAGGTTAAGAGCTCAGTAGGGCTGTGGACCAGGGCATTGAGTCCTCTGCATGTGAACCTCTCGCTGGGCTGCTTGGCTTCCTCATAGTATAGTGGCTACAGTCCATGAGTAAGTATCCTAAGAAGCAGGGAGTAGAAGCTGGCAGTTTCTCTAGAACTAGGCCTGCAAACAAGTGCAGCATCACTTCTGCCATATTTTGCTGGTAAATCAGTTACAGAGCCCAGATTCAAGGGGTGGGGAGATATAGAGCCCATCTCTGGAGGAAGAAGTATCAAAGAAATACAGGACCATGTATTAAAATTACCACAATAATATCTGAAACAAAGAACACAATAGGTGATATAATAGCAGAAAGTTATAACAGAATGAGTTGATAAATTGGAAAGGCCAAATTGAGAAATTCTCCCAAAATTCCTTATGATAATATGATTCCCCAAATTATGGAGGATAGAAATAGAAGTTCTAATGTCTGCACAATAGGAATCCCAGAAAAAGAATAAAATAAAGATGGAGAAAAAGTATAACATGAATGAATCATGACAACATTAAGCTAACTATAAGAAGCCAGATACAAAGGTCACATATTATATGATTCCATTGTAAGAAATATCCAGAATAGGTAAATCCATACAGACAGAAAACAGACTGGTGTTTAGGGGGGACAAGGAAATGGGGAGTAACTGCTTAATGGGTATAGGGTTTCTTTTAGGGTGGCTGAAATATTTTGGAACTAGATAGAGGGGTGGTTGTACAACATGGTGAGTGATAAACATAAATTAATTCTAATGCAATCCAATTTATCAGTCTTCTCCTGTGTCATTAATGCTTTTATGTCCAGTGTCCCTATGCTGAGGTTACAAATATATTTTCCTACACTAGCTTCTAAGAGTTTTATACTTTTGTCTTTTGCATTTGGATCAAAAACATTTTCAAATTAATTTTATTTTCTATGTTGTATTCAGCATGGTGTGAGCTAGGGGTCAATATTTTTTTTTTCCAAATGGATATGCAGTTGTCGCAGTTTGTCCTTATGGGTTCATCCTTGTTCTACTCCACCCCACATTCAGCTCTCCTTCTTAACTCTGGCCCAGCTTACCTGTACAGATTTAAGACCCAACACCAGATGCACAGGTGACAGCCTTTTCCATTGTCTCCGACATGTGCATAAAGTCTAATCCCTGTAAATCTCTTATTTTATATCTTCACTGTGGATCTATTTATCTGATCAGACTGATAAGATACTCTTAAAGTGGGAAAACTTACTCTACTAGATACCAAGACTTTTTTTTAAAGTTGCTGTAATTAAGATATTGCAGTATTGGTACTAGAATAAACAAATAGCTCAAATAAATGGAACAGAATTCAGACAGACTCACACATATATGGACACAATTTATAACATAGGTGGCACTGCAATCTCTCTCCCAATTTCAGGTTCCCATGGAAGTAACTTAGATCTGTCTCTGGCCCACCCTTGTGGTTTGGGAGAGGAAAGTGGCTAAAGATGGAGGGTCTGTAGAAAGCTGAGCAAATGGCACTAGTTTCCTTTTTTTTTTTTCAAGATTTGATTTCCCCTCTCCTCCTCTAAAAAAATCAGTTTAACAAAAAGTCAGAGGATCTTATCTGAAAAATCTAAAATCTTTACAAACTTTCTCTCTTGATATTTCCAAACAAGTTAGTTCATCCTATAAAAGGTATCACCTTCTTAAAAAAAATTTAACATTTCAGAGAGAGATTGGTATCCAGCATCACACTCCATGATGGGATCAGATCTGAATGTGATTCGTTTGTGCTTTTCTGTGGGCTCAGGCTTCTGGCATAAGAATATGGTAAGATGCCTCTGCCCTTCCTGAGACAGACAAAGCTGGACGCCAATAGGAACCACCCATCTTGAGCAGCTGGGGCTAGAACACAAGACCCCTTACCAACCAAGAGTCTACCAGACCCAAACCCCTCTCCCTGTGAAGAAGGAAGAACACTCACACCTGGTTCCTACCCAAAATGTTTATTCTCAGCACGTGCTTGTGCCTGGATGACTAGGAGGGGAACTTCGGGAGACTCAGCCACAGTGACCTTTGTGGGGACTGGCCAGGTCACGAGGGCCACAGGACGAAGACTGAGAAGGTGGCAGCAGCTACCAGGCCTAGGATGAAGTGTGGGGAGGCTTTGGAGGGCCTTTGGAGGGCTTGATTGGCCGGCCACTTGTTCATCTCTGGGTGTGAGACCAGGTGTTCACTCTGAGGCTGAGTCAGGAGGTGGGAGTGGCAGGACCTGCCCATCTGCCTGTTTGGAAATTCATCCTCCCGAGGGCTCTGGCCACTGCTTTCCTCTCTCACCTGGGGGTGGAAGTCAGCATTTGGTGGCTTCCACAGCACCCGTACCCCTCACCTGCTCAAACCTCTGATCCATCTTTTGCCCAGCCCAGCATACCTGTTCCACTTGTCTGAAGACCCGCAGCAGATTTCCACGAAGGACACCCTGAAGCTCTTCTTCCCTCCAGCCTCGTCTCAGCAACTCCTCTATCAGTACCGGGTATGTGGATACGTCCTCCAGCCCCTGAGGGAACCTGTGTGGCTGTCAGCTGGCTAGCTGTGGAACCTCTGCCCCAGTCTTGGTCTAGGTTCCACTGTAGCATCAGCCCCAATCACATATGGGAAATGTTCTTCAGGCTACTGAATGCAGCTTTGGAAGCTCCTTGCAGACTGGAACTCTGCAGCAACTACCCGCTGAGCAGATGCTCTGCCCACAGCAGATCTACTGGGCTGGGAGTGGAACATGTGCTGGGCGGACAAGCTCTCATGGAAGAGGGTGGGGTACTTAACAACTGTTATGACCTGGAGTGGGAATGGGTGCACGGGGCCACAGGAGGGACAGGGAGAGTCTGGGAAACAGGCCCTGGAAGTGGGGAGATGTCAGGTGGGTTGAAAGACCAGACCTTGTGGTGGAGGCGGGAAGAATGGGAGGATCATGGGATGGGGAACTGAGACTAAAGGATTCCCCACTACACCCTGGCCCAAGACAAACCCCAGGGAAACACTCACCGGCCAGATCCATCATAATTTCCACTAATCCCGATGAACTCAGATCCAATGACTGCCCTGATGTGGTCGAAGTGATCTAGGGGGTGAGGGTTAGTGGTGGGCAGCACAAGGCTGGAGTTAGACCCTGGGACCAGCCCTGCTCTGGGGAAGCTCAGCCTGGCCAATTTCCTTGCCCACAGCACTCCAGGACATAGCAGCCAACTCCACGGAACTCCTGGCCTGTTGTGAGTTCTGAAGTGACCAAGGCTAGACACTGGACCTAGAGTGAACCTCCGAGACACCCACTCCTTTGGCCCTTTTCCTGCCCAGAAGCCACGCTTCCTCTGGGTTTCCTTAAAAGCCTGGCCAGCGCTCTGCCTGTCCTAGTCCAGAGATGTGGGAGCAAAAGTGAGACTCAGAGGCACAGGCTGTTACTGCCCCCAAATGCATCAGCACTGATTGTGGCCCCAGATCCAGGTAGCAGTGAAGAGCTGTATCTCTCCCCTGGGCTGTTGGAAGGCTTGCCCGGAGCCCAGCAGGTGTGCTAAATGGCTTGAGCTGTCCTGAGGGCCCCAGCAGCCACAGGCCAAGCTAGAACTGCCCAAGGGGTCGAAGTGGGGCTCACCTGCCACAGTGGACACGTCAGCAAACAGGTTACACTGCAGCACCCCCATGGACAGCGACACCATCACAATGCCACCGTTATTCTTCTACAAGGATAAATTAATGGACACTCAGCTTGGCCTTACTGGCCTGATGGCCTGCCACCTATGCCCTGGGGGCCCTTGTAGGACAAGTGCTTAGTCTTGGCTTCAGGGATTGGGAAAGGCTTCATCTCTGTGGGTCCTTGGGTGGAAATTTTGGCCTTGAGTTTCAGGGATGGGGGAGGGTTAACCAGCCTTGGGTCCAGGGATAAGTGAGGCCTGGGTGGGTAGCTTTGTTCAGAGTCAAGGAACTTTGGATGAAGCATGCCCAGCCCTGGGTTTGAGGACTAGGGTGGCTGCTCACCAGGAGTTGCAGGATGTCATCGGGAACATTCAGCATATTGTCACATACAGCTCTGGCAGCTGAGTGGGAGAAGATCACAGGAGCCCTTGACACCTTCAGGGCTTGCCGCATCAAGGTGTCCGACCCATAGGACAAGTCCACCATCATGCCCAGGCGGTTCATTTCCCCTATTACCTTCTGCAGGGACAGTTTTTTTTTTTTGAGGGGGCAGGGATCAGGAGGGACGCAGGAATGTGTGCATATCTGTAGGGAATGGGTGGGGTAGGGTATGGAACAGGAGTCCTTACCTCACCAAAGCTTGTCAATCCACTGATGTTGGTGTAGAAGTGGTGTTTAAACTTGGTGGAACTCTCTGCCCTGCAGGACAGCCGGAGGATGGCAATCTAGCAGGCTACACCTTAGCCAACAAAGCCTGGATATCCAGGCTCTTTGTCCATCCATCCCACCTCCAGAACAGGGGGAGGATCCAGACCAGCTGCTTTCTGGAAGTGTGTGGGACCCACTGGGAGTCCAAGCTTCCTTCTGTGGACCTCTCTCTCCTCACCAATTTGGCAGTTTACCCACCATGCTGTCAACCATTCCACCCTGGGCAGGCACTCTGCTCACCAGGGCGTGCTGCAGGTGAAGGTGAGTGTCAGGTAGCGTACTCCCAGCAGATAGAAACTGCGTAGCACAGAGAGGCTGCTGTCTATTGAGTGACCACCCTCCACGCCAATAAGGCACGCCAGCTTTTGAGTACTGTTCAGACCTAACAAGAGGGTGGAGAATTGAGTGGTCAGACCTCAGGGCCAGAACCATTGGAGTGAGTCCCTGACTACCCTCCCGTTCCTCAGCTCACCTGTGGCTGAGGTCACAAGCTCCAGTTCAGAGTAGGAGGCACACATGCGATGAATGAGGTCAATCTGCTCCAGAGTGAGGCGCACAGCATCCTCGTCCTGGCATGGGGTGTAGGCTGACCAGAACTAGGGGTTGGCCCAAGGTTCCAGAATGAGATCAGGGTGGTCTCCAGTGCCCTTGGCCTGCCACTCCTCCTCGCCCACCAAGGTATTCATTTGGGTCAGTGGCCTCGACTGAGGCACTACGTGACCCAAGGTACTTTGATGACTATTCAGCTTGCTGCCAGAGGCCCAACTAGAATCGTGACACATCATTGCCTGCTGTTGGTCCATGTGCTGTGTGAGTGCCCAAGGCCAATCCACCATATCCTTTGTGCTTCCAGCAGCCTCCACACTCACCAGGGATTTTCTGATCACTTTCTGTGTGTCTCCACGGAACCTGGGCACCCATGCAGCTGGCCTGTCTTGATCTCCAACACTCCCCATCCCCTAGCAGCCACAGGATGGCACATTGCCTCCTATCATAGTCACCCATGGCTCATGCACCCAGGTTCCTGTGCCCCCCACCACCTTCCTCAGGGGCCATTATGTGTCCCTGCAGTACCTGTGCACCCACGAGGCCATCCCTAAGCCTGTCCAGGTTGGTCTGGCCAAGACTGAAATTGCGTAGGTTGACATTTTGCAGCTTGTTTTGGAGAACCTCCTTTAGAAGCATGGGCAGGTGATTGTGGCTGAGGGTATCAAGACAAAGTTAGAGAGGGGATATGGCCTGCAGGTCAGGCAGGACATGTCAGCATGCCTGGGCATCGTGTCCTTTCCCAGCCCACCTCCCCACCTCATACAGATGATAGTCCTGAGGCACAGTTTTTAAGTGGGGGGTTCCACCAGCAACAGGGAAATGGCAGGAAAGGAAGAGAGAGGATTGGTGGTGAGGGGCCCTTCTCACTAGCCATTCACACTCAGGACCTCCTTCCATGCCCAGGGGCAAATTCAGCCCCACCAGCTGGCACACTGCACCTACGCACCCATCCACCAGCCGGAAGACCCGCATCAGGGCCAGAGTGCGCTCCCGCAGACTCGGGGCTCTGGGGGTGCCTGGAGCTGTCGGGGCGCTGGAGGTGACCGGCCTGGTGGAGGCGCTAGGGGTTTCCAACATGGTCGGGGTGCTGGGGGCACCCGGCGTGGTCTGGACTTGGGTTACCGGCCGCAGCAGCAGACACAGCAGGAGCAGCAGACACAGGAGAGGCCGCCGGCTGATCGCGTAGGGACCATCAAGGCCTATGGTCCGCATGCTGCGCGGGGCTAGGGAGGCGGGCAGAGGCCGGTCTCCGGGGCCTGAGAGAAGCAGGCCAGGGATAGAGGGCGACGATGGGGTCCCGACCGTCGATGTAGGTGCCCCAGCAGTGAGGCCTCGTGAGGAGAGGGCTGGAGTCAGGACGCTCCACAGACGCACGGGGATCCGCAATGCCGCCGCACAGCACGGCCGCCAGGGGACGGTAGGCCCGTCCCGCACCAACTAGGAGGGCGTCCCAGCAGGCCAAGCCGGCCTCTGCGCGAGCGCCCACTAGCGACGCATCGCGGGCTCCCTTCGCCCCTGCTTCCGGCCCTGCATCCCCCGCTGCGAGCTCCGTGGTCCTACTGATTCCCGGAGGAGGTCAGCGCGGGGAATGAGACTGGTCCAGGAATCTTCCTAATTTCACCTCTAACCAGACAGATCGCAGGTCCACTTGGGGTTTTAGTTTCAGGGATGTGCCCCGCCCTCCAACTGGTTAAATATTCCATGAATTCTAGAAAGAAGAATTAGAATCAGAAGAGTGAATTAGATCTGTATGTTTTGACTGACAGAAAAAAGATTCTCTATGTATTTTTAATAGAAATGAAATTCAAGAAGAATATTTTTGGGACACCATTTTGTTTCAGCACTCTGTGGTTAATTTATATCTCATCTTTTTCTGTAATATAGTCATCTTTGGCTGAGGGAAGTCGAAGGCAGTACTGGCAAGGGCTGGCCAGGGTGATAAGAGATTTGTGGAGGCATCAGAACTGCAGCTGAGCCTTGAAAGGATGGGGCTTGTGTCTGGCACAGGAGTGGAAAGGGCATCCTAGGTTGGCCAATAGCCCAGGCAAAGGTCTGGTCTGAGCCAGATGACTGTGCTGTAGTGGAGGAGCTAGAAGACCTTCCAAGGCAGTGAGTAGGAAGACAAGGTGTGGTTAGGCCCCTTGGTGCTAGTAGCATGAGAGCTTAGTCTGACACATGACTACCTGGGGCAGAAATTCTCCTTCAAGACAAGGTGATTTCCAGGCTGGTCAGTGGCCTGGACAGTAAAATTAATTTTTTTCTGCAGAAAAAGTCATGGTTTAGGTTTAGGCTGATCTCAGAACTGCATTTGGGTGGCATCTGAGCCTTCTGGGTGTGCATCAGGTTCTACTAGGCTGAGAGGGGCCCACAGCATGGACCAAAATCTAATCTGAATTGTGCCCTGGTTTGTACCTGCATCTATCTCCTGTTCTCCCTCTGGAGCTCCCTGATAAGTAGGCCTCCCCTCTGGGTGCCCGAAGGGCCTCAGTCTCTGGTGACCACTGCCCCTTGTCGATTACTGCCCCTTTCTCATGCCTGGGGTTAAGGACCAAGTCTGACTCAGCTGCCTCCAGCTTGCCTTCCTCAGCTCAGGAAGGACAGAAAGAGAGAGAGAGACAGAGAGAGACAGAGAGAGAGAGAGAGAGAGATGGAGGGAGGGAGGGAATATCTTTATATTCTGGTTTTTCATACATCTGAGCCAACCTGCCATGGAGGTCTTCATTTAAGTGAGGTTAAGCAACATAATGAATGATAACTTTGCTAATAGTTTATCAAAAGTGCAGAAGAATTTCACATACAGCTGTTTCCTATTTTAGTCTTAAGTGAAAGGGTGAAAGGAGAGGTCATAATGTTTATAGTTAATTTTTAAATATTATCAAATTAATGCATAAACAGTTTCAAATGTCTGGTTTTAGTTGACTAAGTAAATCAAAGTTATATCCCTCTAACTAGTCAACCAACTTTGAAAAGTTGGGCAAAATATAAAAAGGATCTTCTTAAAGGCATCAGGGAGTTAACAAGGTATTGAAAAATGACTTGTCTAGGATCCAGGGAGGGTGGAAATCCAGAGATGGGCCCAGCCTTTGGGTGGTTTCTTCCACTAGGGAGGAATACAGATTAGCATCCAGGGTCCACCAGGGTTAAGGGAGAACCCTGAGGAGTTAGAACACAAAAGAACCCACCCTAGAGGAAAGAGTGATTCAGGCTTCAGCAATCCTGGTTACTCAAGCAATTGTCTTTCAACTTCAGATCCAGCCTTCAGTTATTCTCTACACTGTGAGGCTGGGGACTGAACTCTTGAAACCATATTTCCGAGCTGCCCAGCTGGCTTTCTATTACATTCTGCCAATAGGAGTCACTGGAGAAAGGGAAATGGAAATGCAGGAGAAGAAAAGAAGAAAGTCTCTCCAGTTTTTCCTGTTCCTTTCAGTGCTGCTCCAGCAGTGGCAGTTGGCTGTGACCTCCAACCTCTTCTGGCCATCATAGAGCAGCCCCGCCATGCCCATGCAGAACCGCTGTCCGCCAGAGCAGAGCCCCGAATTCAGAGGCCTGAGGCCCAGCAACACAGGGCCCTTCTCTCAGCTGTCTTCTGGTAACCTCTGCCTCTTCCCATTTCCCTTAAATGGACTCTGAGCTGGATCAGCTCGGCTTGCAAGGATCTGAAATGGGATTCAGGTGATCTTAGAGCACTACTCAATCAATCCAAAAGGAATCAAGAAAGGAGAGAACGGGTGAAATGAACAGAACACATTTTTTTAAATTGAAGTTTAGTCAGTTTATAGTATGTTACTTTCTGGGGTACAGCATAGTGATTCAGATATGTACATATATAGATATTCCTTTTTGTATTCTCTGTCATTATAGGCTATTACAGGGTATTGAATATAGTACCCTGTGCTATACAGTAGGACCTTGTCTGTTTATTTTATATATAGTAGTTAGTATCTACAAATCCTGAGGTACCACTTTTTCCCTCCACACCCCACCTTTTCCCCCATGGTAACCATAAGTTTGTTTTCTATGCTTGTGAGTCTGTTTCTGTTTTGTAAATAAATTCACATGTGTCATTTTTTTAGATTCCACAAGTAAGTGATATCATATGTTATTTTTCTTTCTTTTTCTGACTTACTTCACTTTGTATAACAGTCTCCAGGTCCATTCATGTTGTTGCAGAAAGCATTTCTGAGTAATGATGCAGAGACCAGCCGACTTGGACCCTGAGGCAAGAGGAAAAATGGGTACTCCTACACACATATTTTTACTATATTATAGTATTTAATTGTCTAGTTTTTTATTGTAGTATAGTCAGTTTACAGTGTTGTATCAATTTCAGATGTACAGCATAATGTTTCAGTCATACATATATATATATACATATATTTATTTTCATATTCTTTTTCATTATAGGTTACTACAAGATATTAAATATAGTTCTGTTAGCTATGCAGAAGAAACTTGTTGTTTTTTATATACAGTAGTTAGTATCTGCAAACCTCAAACTCCTAATTTATCCTTTCCCACCCTCTTTGCTTTCTGGTAACCATAAGTTTGTTTTCCATGTCTGTGAGTCTGTTTCTGTTTTGTAAATAAGTTAATTTATGTCTTTTCCTTTTTTTTTTAGATTCCTCATGTGAGTGATATCATATGGTATTTTTCTTTCTCTCTTACACACATTTTAATGTATTATTTAATGGTTAATTTTTCCAGAACATTAAAATAGTTGAAAAATATTAAAGAACCAAAAAGTAGGTGTATTAAAACTCACAATATTATTTTATATTTCTATATTTTATTTATACTCAAACCAGAATTATAATTTTACTTTCCTGGGTTTAATGAAAGCACACTCATGAATAATATTTTTAAAACCTCTTTGCTTAGCTCATTTTCTATTGAGAGGGTACATGTTTGACAATTTCTCTTGACTAACTGACAATCTCAGATACTTTTAAAATAACTACAGCTTACCAAGACTTCTTAATTACAGGATGCTACTAGCATAGTTAAAATTTTTTTCAAGGCTGGCTATTGCCAAATTTGGGTAAGATTCCACTAAGCAAAATTTGTGAATCAATTTTAAAAGATCCAAACACAATGCTGATTTTCTATTACAAAGCATCAATATTGCAGGTTTCTTAAAACTGTCTGTTGGAATTTCTACAGAACTTAAAATTTCAGAATCTATTAGCACCAAATCAATGTCTGCTTTTGACAAATCAGATGTATTCATAGAACATAACTTTTCTTCAGTTAAAAATTCAAAATCTGAAGACCCTGTTTAAATGTTTACACTTCCATTTCAAATGTGAAAATAGGGCATCTCTAGTCTCCTTAATTTCTATTTGATATGCACTTTCCCATAACAATTGATATTCCCATTAGGTGGTTTATATATTTCCAGTTTCTCTCTCTATTTTTGTTGGTCTGAAAATGTATTTACTTTCCTTCAGTTTTGAAGAATATTTTCACTGTCCACAGACTTCAACATTGGTAGTTACTTTCATTCATCAGGTTAAAGGTATTCCACTGTGTGTGGATTTCCATTATTTCTGTTGAAAATTCAGTTGTTTGTTTTATTGTTGTTCCTCATTAATATGATTTGTTTTAATATGGCAGCTTTTAAGGTAATCTTTCATCTTTGGCTCCTTGAAGTTTGACTTTGAAGTGCATTTGCATTATTATGAATAGGGCTGCTATAAATATTATTTCATATGCCTTTTGGGAAAATATTATGCATTCCTCTTGGATATATACCTGAGGTGAAACTGCTCAGTCATGGAATATGTGTAGATTATCAGTATTAACTATTATTTTTATTAGTCATTATCTATTATTATCATGTTATGTATTATTAGCTCTCATTATTAATGCAATGTACTAACTCTTAATGTATTAACTCTTAATTCTGGCTATTCAGTTGCTATTATCATTAATGGACTGGGAGCAGGATGGGGTAGTTCTCAGAAAGGAAGTGGCTAAGGAGCAGAGAAGGAGCTGGGCCCACATCTGGAGCAGTCCAGCCATTGGCGATCCATGGCCCATTAAGGAGGCTGACATTCTGGGCTCTGTCCTAATAGGAACAAAGATCATATGTGATCCAGGCAGGTTCTCTTCTTGGGAATCTGAACCAGAATTCCCTGAAAGATCCCCAGGTGGTGGTCAGTGGGTCAGGATGTAGATTGAAGTTAGTTACTCAGAGGGATCCAAGTAAGGTCCACCCTCACGCAGCCAGAGCCACCCATTGTGGCTCTGTCCTCTTCCAGGCAGAGCCCAAACACCTGAGTTTCCTCAGGCCACTGCCAGCAGCTCTTCCTTGAGTATCTGGTGGTTGAACTGCAGGATCCCCCACCAAACATCACCAGTATTGGGAGCCTGCATCACCAGACCCCACCAAAGAGAAGGACACTCATGCTGATTCCATGTGTGAAACATTTATTTTCAGGAAATGTTTGTGCTTGCATGCGAGGGAACTTTGTGGGTTGTCTGTGGCTGCCAAAATGACATCTGACAGGATTAACTGGATCACCAGAGCCACAGAATGAGGACTGGGAAGGCAGCAATAACTTTGAGGCCTGGGGCCATGTAGGGGTGGGATTTTGAGAATGACCACTTAGGTGACAAAATGAGTTTCCCATGCACTGGAGTCTCGGTTAGTTTCTGGTCTGGAGCCAGATTCTGTCTTTGACGAGGATGTGGGAGGACGGAGCGGCAAGAGCTGCCCAGCTGCTCATCCGGGAACTCGTCCTCCAAGGGACTCTGCCCCTTGTTTTCCTCCCGTACCTGGAGGCGGCAGTCAGTGGGCAGAAGCTCCCACAGCTCCCCCAACCATCCACCTGCTCAGACCCCTGAGCTCCTCTTTTGCCCAGCCCAGCATACCTGTTCCACCTGTCTGAAGACTCGCAGCAGGTTTCCTCGAAGGACACCCTGAAGCTCTTCCTCACTCCAGTCACGACGCAGCAACTCCTCTATCAGTACCGGGTATGTGGACACGTCCTCCAGCCCCTGAGGGAACCTGTGTGGCCGCCAGCCAGCCAGCTGTTGGGCCTCAGCCCTGTTCCCTGGTCCTGAGTCAGAACCTCAGCCCTATGCATCCAGGGTCCACTGAACCCCACCCCTGGTCAGATATGGGAAATGGAGGCTTGGAGAGAGTAAATGATTCATCCCTGCTCTTCATCCATCAGAAGGGAGGCTGCAAAAGCTCCTTGAATATTCATCAGAGCTCACTGAATTGTACTAAGATCTATGCCTTTTACTGAATGCAAAATTTTCCTCTATTTACAAATAGAAGAAAACCTTTTTAAGAACTGGGTTGATCCCCTGCACACACAGACCCAGCTGCAGGCAGAGAAGACAGTCAGTCCACACTGTACCTTGCTAAGAGTCTACTCAGGGGCCTTGGGTCTGCCAGCACTGAATGGGTGCAGATGCTGGGCAGATGAGCTCTGTCTGGTGGTTTGACCAAATGTGATGACCTTGAGTAGGTCCAATGGGCTATACATAGACAGGAAAGCCCAGGAAACAGACCCTGGGAGAGGAGAGATGCCAGCTGGGCCAGCAGACCTGAGTCTGTGGTCAAGGCCATGAAGACCACAGTGTGGTGGGCCTGGTGGCTGTGAAAGCCCCCCTGCTGCACAGTCAGCCCACGTCAAGCCACAGGGAAGCACTTACCGGCCAGCTCCATCATAATCTCCACCAATCCCAATAAACTTGGATCCAATGACTGCCCTGATGTGGTCGAAATGATCTGAAGGATGGAGAGTCAGCGGTGTGGGGCTTCCTGGGCAGGGGTGGGAGTGGGGACTGGACTTTGTTACAGATTCCCCTTCTTGCAGCCTGTATGCCACACAGGCCAGTTCCTTCATGGCCTGGCACCCAGGGTACCAACTTGACAGCTCTGAGGGTTGATCTGAAGTGGTTCCAACTGGCCCCAGACTGGACTTCAGATCTGGAGTGGACCCCAGAGCCACCCATTTGGGCCATTTCCCATCCAAGGGTCACTCTGCCTCACAGTCTCCTTGAGAACCTGTGGGGGCTCCTTTCCATGGGTGTGGAGGATGAGCGAGGGACAAGAGTACAACCGACAAAGATTGTCAGAGACTTAAGGAGCTGTCCAATCCATTGGCCAGAGGCAGGGGCAAGGCACTTTCAGAGTGCCTGAAGAGGCGCAGATGGTTGGCACTTGGGCTCTGTGCCTGATTGCCTCCCTTATGTGTATCAATATCACAGTTTCAATGCTGTGTCTCTAGTTCCACATGGCACCAAGATGCTGTTTACTCTCCATTACTGGGTTTTGGAAGGAGCTGAGGCTATTGCCAATAGGTGGATCAAACCACTGGGGCTGTTGTGAGGTCTTCCCCAATTTTGGACCCAGATTCACATCTAAATCAGAGCTTCAGAGAGCCCAAGGTGAGGCTTACCTGCCACAGTAGACACGTTGGCTAACAGGTTGCACTGCAGCACCCCCACTGACAAGGACACCATCACAATGCCACCATTCTTCTTCTGCCAGGTGGACAAATGGACACTCAGCTTTGCCCTCCAGCACTACTGCCCGCCTGTTCACTCTCTCAGCTCCTATGAGGACGGTGTTCAGCCCTGGCTTTGAGGTCAGAAGAGACTTCTCTCTGGGTTTGTGTGAATGGAGGAGTCTCAGCCCTGGTCTGCATGGTGTTTTGGCTCTGGGTTTGTGGGTTTGGAGGAATAGTTACCACTTAGAACCCCACCTAGGGTTTAAGAGTTCAGGGGCTGTGGGCTGTGGGTTTGTGGGGCAGAAGATGCTCCACCTGGGGTTTGGGGAAGTTGAGGGAACAGGAGCTCAGGTTCAAGGGCTCCTAGCTTGAACCTCTTGCTTTAGGTTTCACGGCCAGGGTAGTCTCTCACCAGAAGCTGCAGGATATCATCAGGAACATTCCGAGCGTCCCTGCACACGCCCCGGGCAGCTGAGTGGGAGAAGATCACGGGTGCCTGTGACACTTCTAGGGCTCGCTGTGCCACGGCGTCTGAGACATGGGACAAGTCTACCATCATTCCCAGACGGTTCATTTCTGCCACCACCTTCTGCAGGGGCAGGTTGGGGAGACAGCATCAGGGCTGCATTTATCTTGTGTTCATTTATCTGTAGGGAACTGATTGGGCACATACATTCATGTGGGGCAGGGTATGGAACCAGGGTCCTTACCTCACCAAAGCTGGTCAGCCCACTCACATTGTTGTAGAAGGGATGGATACCCTTAGCCGAGCTCTCTGCCCTGTTGGATGGCCAGGAGGCAATCTGACTGGTGGCCATGACTTGGCCATAAAAGCCTAGCTAGAAGCCCTACTGGACCTTCTACACCTGCAACTCCCTGGTGTGAGAGCAGGGACCCAATCTTGGCTGTGCCTGGCAGTAACACGACCTTCTGGGGATCCAGTCTTGCTCTGCAAATCCCAGCTCCCCTCCCTACTCCAGGTTCAGGGCCAGATCCCAGGGGTAAAGCTTGGTCTGGGCCCCAATGTGATCTTGGGCAGATTCCTGTCTCTGTAGGGCCATACCATCTGCACTGTGCTCACCAGGGTGTGTTGCAGGTGTGGGTGAGTGTCAGGTAGCGCACACCCAGCACGTAGAAGGTTCGCAAGACGGAGAGGCTACTGTCCAGTGAGTGGCCGCCTTCCACACCAATGAGGCAAGCCAATTTCTGGGTACTGTTCAGAGCTGGGGCAGATAGGTCACATGATCATTTTCAGAGGCTTAGGTAGCTCAGTCAAGTCTCTAATACCCACCACCACCAGCCCACCTACCTTCAACTGAGGTCACAAGCTCCAGCTCAGCATAGGAGGCACACATGCGCCGGATGAGATCAATTTGCTCCAGGGTAAGGCGCACAGCATCCCGTTCCTGGGTCTGGCATGGGACGTAGGCTGACCAGAACTAGGAAAAAGCCAGGGGTTGGCTTGAACAGGGATTGCTTTGGAACTCCTTGGGCTTCTCATAGACTCCACAGCTGGCATAGCACTCACTGTGCCCACAAGTCACATGTAATGCTTTGCTTGTTCTGTGGTACTTGGATGCCCATCAAGTTGGCCCACTGTGACCTCTGCAGCCCCCAGCATCCATGTCATGGCACTTTTTAGGTCACTATAGTAACTGAGTTCCAATGTGACTAACTTGTGGTCTCTGAGGCCCCCACACCCCAGCCCCCCACATTCCTCAGCAGCCGTGGGGGCACCTCGGGTATCCCTGTGGTACCTGGGCACCCACGAGACCATCTCTAAGCCTGTTCAGGCTGGTCTGGCCGTGGCTGAAATTGTGCAGATTAACATCCTGTAGCCCATTGTGGTAAAACTGCCTCACGACCAGGGGCATGTCGTTGTGTCTGGAGGGAAGTCAAAGCAAATAAGTGGGCTCCTTAGGCCTTGGGATCAGGCAGGACATGTTGCCTGGCCTAGGCTAGCCCAGGGGCCCCCCACCCCATACCGTCACACAGACCATACTAGAATCTGCTGAAGCCTGGGTTGAGGGGTTCCCACCAGAGAGGGGATGACAGGAGGGGAAGGGCACCCATGGATGATGGGAGAGGACATCTAGGGTGATGTCAGGGAATCTCCTCACTAGCCCCGCATGCTCCGGACATCCATCCCTGCCCAAGGGTAAGCTTGGCCCCCACCAGTCCCCACTAGTCTCTACCCCGAACCTACGCACCCGTCGACGAGCGGGAAGTCCCGCATCAGGGCCCGTGCGCGCTCTCGCAGACTTGGGGCGCTGGAGGTGTCCGGCGTGGTCGGGGCGCCAGTTACTGGTCCCATCAGCAGCCACAGGAGGAGCAAAAGCAGCCACTGGCTGAGCACATCGGGAACCTCAAGGCCACTGGGCCACATGCTTCTCAGGATAAGGGCCGCTATTGAGAGCCTGAGGGGCGGGCAGTGGGGTCTACACAGGCCACTCGGTGGCGCGTATAGCTGGGAGAGGAGCGGGCAACGAGTCACAGGACCCTGCGAACCATGCGCTGAGAGCCGCGTTCGCGAAGCACGACCTCCAGGGGGCCGCACTGCCCTCTGGCCATCCGCTAAGATGGAGCTGCTACAGGGATCGCAGGCCTCCCCCACGAGCCCACTCGCCTCCCATCGCGGGTTCCCTCAGCCCCTGACCCTCTCCCCACACACACTGCTCTGAGGGGTCCACCCCAGACTGCTCTCCCTCACCCGTCTCTAACCTTGCTGTCCAAGAGAGAGAGTCTGGCCGACTCTCTCTCTCTCTCTCTCTCTCCAGCAGTGGCCTTAAGCCACAAGGCCTCTTCAGATCACATCTTGTCCTCATCTGCCTGCAGCCTGTCCTGCCCACCCTGAGGGCTGCGTGCGAGTGTCTCTGTGGCCACAGTGCTCTGGGCTTTTGGTTTCCTGGTGCTGAGCCACATCGGGTAGGTGTGGGGGAGGAGAGAGTTTCTTGAAATGGGGAATTAATGTTGTGGATACTGGATTCTGGATTCTTCCCTGCCCCTACCCTTCTCTCTTCCCCTACTTTACTCTTTTGCCTGTATTACTGTTTCCCTGGGACTCCAGCCAGCAACTGGGAACTGTCAGAGGCACCATTTTCTCCTCTTACCCAGTCAGCCTCAAGAACAAGCTCCCTCAGCAGTTGCTACACCTCCCTAGGGCCCAAATAGAGTTTAGGGATGTGAACTGAGCAATCATCTAGGGAGAGTCAGTGACCTTTTACACAGCAGAGCAGAAACACAGAGCAGACTATTTGAATGGAAGAAAATGAAGTCATTTCCGTGGCAGCAGAACCCCCATCCCAGCAACCTTTCTCCTGAGCTACTGGCTGACCTGCTGGCCAGGATCCCTCCTACCTTAGTGTTGAAGGCCCGGCCTCATTGAGGTCAGAAGTAGGGGTCCTGAGGAGAGGCCTGGCACCTGGGTTCTGAAACTATATCCACCTTATTTTGTGGCTCTTATGGTTCTGGCTCTCCCAGAAACCTCAAAGACCAACTTCCTGTCCTTGCTTGGAGGCCCCACCCCATTGCCATTTCCAGCCTCAGGCCCTCACCCTAACTTCCTCCTCTAGGAACAGTCCCCTGCCACTACACACACACGCATGCACACACCAACACACACACATACACACACATACTATGCCTTCTCACAGAAGCTCCACCACTGAGATGTTTCAGGGACTTTGCCTCTCAAGGATCCACTCTGATCCTTGGCACCCCCTGAGCTGTTCCACCTTTGGAACCTTTTCCAGGTGTCAGGAGTGACTAGCACAGGGGTAGTGACCTAAGTCTGAGCCTTGGAGATCCTAGAAACCTCCCTAAAAATGAAATGAGTAAAACTCTTCTAGAGGGACTAGAAATCCTGGGCTATCCAGAAGGGGAAGGATCTGAGCTTGTGTATATTTGAGGGGCTGTGCATTTGACCTTTGTGCTTGCAGGCCAGAAGAAGGGAAAACCACTGGCACTGTGCTGGAGGGGGGTTTACTCCCTGCTTACTGCAGCTGGAGGGTTCTCTAGGCAGCCCCACTGCAGGGCGTGAGTCCCTTAGGGCTCTGCTTCAGAGAACAGCAGGGTGTATCCCTACCCTAGGTGGCTTGGGCACCTAAACTCAGACCTGGCTCTCTTTCCTCCACAGCCACCCCGTGCCCTGGCTGGCCAGTAGCCGCCACGGTCACTCTTGCTGCCAAGTAGGGAGAGGGAGGAGAAGCTCTTGGATCTCCTGGTTTTGAGGCCAAAAACATGGGCTTGGGGGATAAATAGCTTGTTTGTTCTACTCTGGGTAGCCCCCCAGGGAGTGCGGACAAATAAATAGCAGCTGCTAACAGAAGTATGGGAAGAGAGAATTTAGCTTTTTTTTAGGTTTTTTTTTTTTTAGCTTTTTTCCAGGGAATGGATGTCTAACAACACCCTAGAGATAGGTTGTGCTGAGCTAGAGAAGGTGGGTACCAGCAAATTTTTTATAACATTCAGCTTCAGTCCTTAAACAAGCTGGCACTGCTGGCCGTGGCCTTGAGGTGACCATATAATGACGATCATAGAAACACAGATACATCCAGATCCTTATACTTAGACTCAGGGGCAGGGCACAGAGATGGCCTTGGGTGAGGTTAAGGGGAGGACAGGCCACTCTTTTGGTTCAAATCTGCTTTCTCCTTGGGTATGAGTGCTCCCATGCCCCTGTGCAAGTGAATTCAATGAGGCCACGACCACCATATCCCAGCACCTGGCCCCACAACCTGCACTCAACCAGCAGGTGCTTAACCAGCATTTGTTGAAAAGCGAGTTGACTTGATGCTCAGGGGGATGCTGCCTTCCCTTCCTTCCCAGGACAAGGGCATATGCCAACAGTGATGACGTGTCAGAGAAGCTGAAGTTACTGTGTGCCTGAAGTGGTGCTACCTGTTAGTGGCACACAGTACATTCAGTCTTCACAATAGCCCACAAGGTAAGTTTTCTATGTGGAAAAATTGAGATTCTGCTAGATGAACTTAACTTTTTTACCCAAGAGCTGGCAAGTTTAGCTGGAATCTGAAACTGAAATTCCCTTATGCCCAGATCTTTCGAGCTTTGCTTCTAATTCCATTCTCCCTCTATGACCACCCCATGTTCAAAGCAGTTGCCTAGCTGATGGATGCCTTTTTCTCGACCTCTGTTCCCCTCTGTCTGGAGACCTCCCTGAATACAAATCTGGAATGCTGGGCAGCAGAATTCCTGAATTTGGGGGCAGTCTGTGAGGACAATGGGACTGGGATTTTGTGGAGGAGAAACATACTTAGGTCTCTGTTGTCTGGGGCTCTCTGGGACTCAGTCCAGACCCACTCAGACAGGGTCTTTGTCTCTTTTGGCTCTTCCCTATGGGTGCTCCAGGCCCTAGGGGGCAAAGCTTTGGAGAATGACTGCAAGCTGCTTGACAAAGTCTGCCCTGTCTGCTTCTGCACATGCCCCCTCACCTCTTCAGTACTGCCAGGCCCATCAGGGTTGGCCCATCACTGTTGGCCCTTCTTCAGTGAGGAGGGTTCATGGGATATAAGGAAGGCATCTGATGAAGCCAGCAGTGGTAGGGACAGTAGCCCACCGGCCCTGGGACAGAACTCTCCTTAAACCTGGCTGAGAAGGAGGACAGGTGTGGGGAGACCAGCTGCTGGGCAGGCAATTGCTCACAGTGGTGTCCTCCTGGCCAAGTTTCATACAGGGGTTCCTTGGACTTCTTGAATTCCAGGAGCATCCTTACATCCATCTATTTGTCCAGATATCCTTTACTGATCCCCTGTTGGTGCCGGCCCTTTGTTGGGGTGTGCAGTGAAGGGGCTGGACAAATCTCCAGTTCTCCATCCCATGGTGCCAGCATAAGCACACAGAAGACTGGGCTGTGGGGGCTCCAGGTGCTGAGAGTCAGCCCTGATCAAGCAAATGTTAATCCATGACATATATGATTTCTCATTTAGCCTCAAGTTCAGACTTGCTGTCTCTTGTTCAACCCAGCCTGCTCATCTTTGAGGCCTGTTAGACCTGTCCTCTGCAACACCATGCTCCACACACCACACCTGGCTCCAGAGCCCGCCCTGCTTCCTGTTTCTATATGGGAATCCTGCCCTCCATTGCCTGGCTTCCATGGCTTGCACAAACTAGTTTACTCTCTGAAGGTGACCACCTGAGCCCTCACTGATTCCAAATATGGCCAAATGTCAGACAGCACCTGAGAAGCTTTTATTTTTATTTCTTTTAACTTATTAGGGTAATTTTTCCAACATATAAAAAAGTAGAGAGAAGAGTATAATGAATCCCTATGTACCCTTTGTCCAGCTTCAACAGTTATCAACTGGTGGCTCATCTGTTTCATTATACCTTACCCATTTTTCTCTCCCTCCTTTTAATTAATCAGTCCGCCCTTATTGGGCCCAATGGGCAACTAAGAACTATTTTTTATTGAAGTGTACTTGATTTACAATGTTGTGTTAGTTTCTGGTGTACATAGTAGTGATTCAGTTTTATATATATATATACACACACACACACATTCTTTTTCATTATAGGTTATTACAAGATATTGAGTATAGTTCTCTGTGCTATACAATAGGACCTTGTTGTTTATCTATTTTATATCTAATAGTTTGTATCTGCTAACCCCAGATTCCTAACTTATCCCTCTCTTCCCTTTTCCCTTTGGTAACCATCATTTGTTTTCTATGTCTGTGAGTCTGTTTCTGTTTTGTAAATAAGTTCATTTGTATCATCTTTTAGATTCCATATATAAGTGATATCATATAATATTTGTCTTTGACTTAATTTCACTTAATATGATAATGATAATCTCCAGGCCCATCCACATTGCTGCAAATGGTATTATTTTACTCTTTTTTATGGCTGAGTGGTATTCCGTTGTACATATATACCACATCTTCTCTACACAATCATCTGTCAATGGACATTTAGGTTGCTTCCATGTCTTGGCTATTGTAAATAGTGCTGCTATGAACCCTGGGGTTTGTGTATTTTTTCAAATTAGAGTTTTCTCTGGATATATGCCCAGGAGTGGGATTGCTGGATCATATGGTAACTCTGTGTTTAGTTTTTTAAAGAATCTGCTTAGTGTTTTCCATAATGGCTGCAACAAATTACATTCCCACTAACAGGGTAGGTGGATTCCCTTTTGGCCATACTCTCTCCAGCATTTATCTTTTGTGGAGTTTTAATGATGGTCATTCTGACTGGTGTGAGGTGGTACCTCACTGTAGTTTTGACTTGTATTTCTCGATAATTAGTGATGTTGAGCATCTTTTCATGTGCCTATTGGCCATCTTGCTTCTATAGAATATTTTAAAGCAAATAAAACATTTATTTCATCCATATTTAAGATTGCATCTCTAAAAGACAGGACTCTTTTTAAAAGTCAAATCATGGCAGAGGATCTGAATAGACATTTTCCCAAAGAAGGCATACCAGATGGCCAACAGGTATGTGAAAATATGCTCAACATCAGTAATTATTAGGGAAATGCAAATGGAAACCACAATGAGTTGTCATCTCACTCCTGTTAGAATGGCTATTAAAAAAAAAAGAAATAAGTGTTAGTGAGGATGTGAAGGAAAAGGAAATTTTGCACACTGTTGGTGGAAATGTAAACTGGTGCAGCCACTATGGAAAATATTTTGGAGTTTCCTCTGAAAATTAATAATAGAACTACCATATGATCTATCAATTCCACTTCTGGGCATTTATCCAAAGGAAATAAAAACACTAACTCAAAAAGATATATGCACCCCCATGTTCATTGCAGCATTATTTTCAATAGCCAAGATATGGAAGCCATCGAAGTGTCCATCAGTGGATGAATGGATAAAGAAAATGTAGTAAATGCATACAATGGCATATTACTGAGCCATGAAAAAGAAGGAAATCTTGCCACTTGAGACAGTGTGGATGGACCTTGAGGGCATTATGCTAAGTGAAATAAGTAAGAGAAAGACAAATACCACATGATCTCATTTATATATGAAATCTAAAAAAAATCCCCCAAAACTTATACAGAGACTATATTAGTGGTTGCCAGAGGTGGGGTTGGGGAATGGTGGGGTAAAGAGGGTCAAAAGGGACAAACTTCCAGTTACAAATAAATAAGTCATGGGGAATCAATGTAGAGCGTAGTGACTGTAGTTAATAATAATGTATTACATAGTTGAAAATTGCTGAGAGAGTATGTCTGAAAAGTTCTCATCACAAGGAAAAAAATTTGTAATCATATATGGTGACAGATGTTAACTAGACTTATTGTAGTGATCATTTTACAATATACATGAATAGTGGATCATTATGTTGTATACCTGAAGCTAATATAATGTTATATGTCTACTATACCTAAATAAAAATAATTTTTAAAAATACAGATCACCACCATACTATTATGGCACCTAAAAAAGTAAACAATACTTCCTTAATACCATAAATTATCTATCATGTTCAAATTTCCCTGATTGCCTAATTTTTAAATAATTCATTTAAATTAAAGCATAGGTAAGACCCTCCCCCCATATTGCATTTGGTCATTTTGTCTCTTAACCTCTGGGCTCCTCTTTTTCCTTCCTTGCAATTTATTTGTTGGAAAATCACATCCTCTGTTCTTTGGAGTTTTCTGTTTTGGAATTTGCTGATTGTAGCCCATGCTTTCATTTCGTATGTTCCTCTGTCCCTTGTATTTCCTATAAGCTGGTTGTTAAGGGAAGCTTTTAAAACTGCAAATTTCCAGACTTCACCCTAAAAACATATCCAGTAGAACTGTTGTGGGTGCTGGAAGTCTCTAATTTTCCTAAAAACCCCAGGTGGGTTCTGTTTGCCTGTTTGGGAATTGACAACTTATCTGACTCTGCCAGTAACCACAAGTCTGCTTCAGTCACACCGAGTATGAGAGAGCAATACTACAGTTCTAATTTCCAGTGGTGGGCAGTGGGAGTCACTACAGGAAGAGGCATTAGCTATCTTTCGTGGGTTAACTGAGACTCATAGTGCACATTTTCTGGAAGCCCCAAGGCCTGTGTCTCAATCCTCCAACCCAGGTCAAGGAAACTTCCTAAGTTAGCGAGACCTTTCCTAGCCTTCAAAGTGTTGGTGGAAGGAGCAATAGTCTTCCTGATTTGGCCCCTGAGGACAAGTGTGCTGTCCACAGGATGGGTGGCTTCACCTGGGCCTGGGGACAAAGAGCTGCTGATAGTGCCCCCTTCCGTTAGGGGCTGATGAGGCAGGTGGGCCTGGGAACACAGACCCAGATCCCGTGCTCTTCCTTCTCTGCTGATATTCCCCCACCCCCACTCCCCCAGGACCAACTGTCCCCTTAACTGCTGAGAGAGACATTCCACTGGTAACAGCCAGCCAGCCCCTCACTACCATGGCACATAGAAGTCAGAGTAGTCTTTTTAGCATCTACATCAGATCACTTCACTACCCTGCTCAAACCCCTCCCATGACTTCCCATCTCACTCTTCACCATGGCCAAAAGGCCTGCTGTGGTCTGGCCCATCCCTACTCCTCCAACCACATCTTTCATTCTTTCTCCTCCCTGGTCACACTGGCCTTTCTGCTGGTCTTAGAATAGGCCGGCTTCATTCCTACCTCAGGGTCTTTATACTTGCCATTTCCTCCTCCAGGAATACTCTTCTTTCAGCTCCTCACATGACTCTCACTCAACATCTCCACTGAAATATCACCTCCTCAAAGAAGCCTTCCCTGACTACCTTGTGTAACATAGAAACCCCTTATCATTCTATCTTCTTATCCTATTTTACTTTTTTTGGTAGCAATTATAATTACTTGAAATTATAGTATTTGTCTCTTTCTTTAGTTTGTGGGTGCCGTGCGGAGAGGGGCTTCGATCATCTCATTCACTGAAATATCCCAAGCAACTAGCACAGTGTCTGGTATGTAACTTGTGTTCAGTAAATATTTGTTGAATAAATGGACTGATGGATGGGTGGATTGGTAGATGGAACAGCATCTTCTTAGTCCTGCCTCTCCTCTCCTTAAACACACACACACACACACACACATTACTCATCAGGCTCTGCATTTCTTAAAGAACCTGCCTATGTCCTGCCCCAGTTTGCACAGGTGTTACTGCAGGAGCCACATAGTTAGAAACTCCCTCCAAAGGTCCTTTCTAGAAGCAGAAGTGGGAATGTGGGAATATATTTAAAGGGAACAGGGAGGTTTGGGGCCTGTGCCTTGGACAAGCTGGATTTCAAGCCAAACACTGTCAAAGAAAAACATTTTATTGAGCCATAAGGGACCCTATATGAGCCAGAAAGGGCTAGGAATAAAGGAACACATGAGCTTCAGGACAGGATGGGGTTGGGTGGGTGCTGCTCCACTCTCTATCCTGTTCTTGCTCCAGGGAGCAGGTCTTTCTGGGTCTCTTCATATTTCCTCTTGAGGCAGGAGGCTCCTTGGGTAGCCACCGATTGCTTCTTTTAGTTTCAAAAAGCCCGGCTTCCCTTGGTTTGTATTGGTGGTCACTGGCAATGACTCAGGGCAGGAGCCCCAGGGGTAGACTGGGCCCTGCTAAGACCACTGTGCACCCTGTCTCCGCTCCTGGATCCTCCTCAGCTTGCAGACTTTTCTTTCTTCTGCCCCAGAAGGGACTCCCCAGGATTGAGCAGAGGAACATCAGGTTTTCTTCCAGGCCAGCTTCAGCCCTGGGATGTTCAGAGCAGACTCTCATTTCAGATCTGTTTCTGAGGCTCCTTGCTTATGGCTAATTAGTATGGAAAGAAGCTCCTGGTTGAGGAAGTCTCAGACAGAGCAGCACAGGTTCTAATCTCCAGTAGTGGGCAGTAGGGGTCACTGCAGGAAGAGGCATTAGCTGACGTAGGCAGTTTGACGTTTGCCCTCTCTAAAGAGTGGCTCAACCAGCAAGCTTCTGTGGGGTTAACCTTCTGCCACCGTGCTGCAATTGCCGAATTTTGGGGCTGGAGCAACCTAGGTCTTTGACCGACTCTGCCAGAGTTCGCCGTCTCTTGGGAGTGTGGCTGGGGACTGGCTTCTCTGCTTCCACCTTTGCAGGGGTGGCCACAGGAGCATCCCCATAGGCCCGGTAGCCACCAACCAGGCAGTATGTCTCCCCATGCCAGCCCACCTGGGTTTCTCCACACCCTCGGTAGAGGACATGGTAGTGACCAGGTGTAGGAGGAGAAATGGGAGCCACTGCTGATGGAAAGAAAATCAGACTGGATCAGTTACTTCTGCTGTATGTAGTCTCCTGACAGAACCTCCCCTCTCTCATGTCCCTCCCAGTTTCTGGCTGAAGCCCTTTAATTTGCTTGACATCCAAAACACAGCCTTGGCCCATCACCTCTATGAGTCCCTAGAGAAGGGACATTGGCTGCAAAAGCAAACCCTGGAGCCTGTGGCTGCAGCAGACCAGGAAATTTGTTTCCCATTCCCACGGAAAACAGTAGAACCCTAAAATAATTGCATTCAGGATCCCCTCAATCTCTCCCTTCCACAACAGAGAAAATTTTCTTAAGGCCTGCCACTTCTAAGGCTTTAATGGAAATGCCTCTCAGATTTTGGAAAAAAAAAGAATCTAATATAAATTGGTTAAGAACCCTTCCTACCTTGACAACTTCTCTTGGGCCCCATTCATACTGCCTGTTTCAACCACACTGAACTCTTGCCCTCTGATCCTTTCATCTAGATGAGAAAAAAGCCAAATGCTGAGGCAGAGTGACCAGGAGGTTCAGAATCAGATTCTGGGTACCAAGTCTAGGCTCACATCACCCAACCTCCTGGGCCATTTCCTCAGTTCTGCAGTCTCATTATCACTTCATCACCCCCCTTGGTTCTGCTTTTCTTCTCATCAATATGGCACCACTCTTTTCCCCAGTACTCAGCAGCTCCATCTGGGATGTGTCTGAGGGGGCCCATGTAGATGTCTGCATCACAGCATGAAGGTGCCTGAGTTTGAAGGTGAGATTCAAGAGTGGCCATCTTCCTCAAACTGCTCCATCTATCATTTGCCAACAAAAATGCAGTTGACTTTTGATAAAAGGCCAATCAGGAAAGGGTCTGAATGGAAGTATCCTGTAGCTCAAAGGCGAAGACTACATTTATAAAGATTAGAATCTTTCTGTATCCTTACCCAGGGATGGCATTTCACTTGTCCTCAGCAGTCAGCACTGTGGGTCCCTGAGGGGACCCCAGGCCACTGGTATAACTTACAGCTGAGAAAGTGCTGAGGTGTGTGTGGTGGGCAAGCCCAAAGGGAACATGTGGCAGCCAGGTGAGGCTGTGTGTATACCATGCCTCTTGTATGGATGCCTACCTGCTGTGCTGCCCTCCCAGGGGACAGAGGACAAGTTAGAGTGAATATAGAAGATCCGATCAGACATTCTCTCTCAGGCAACCAAAGAGATTGGTATCTGGTGAAGAACTTGTAGGGAAGTTTCTCCGAGAGCAGCACGTTTGCGTAGTCACACTGCCATGGAAACTGTGAGAAGGCCTGTGAGGTCATCATTCCCAGTGAGGTCACATAAGGAATCTGTGACTCGAGGGGCAGGCTTTAGGCTCTTGGGGTTTTGTAGAGGAGAGCAGTGTGGAGGTAGGGAGATACCTTGCCTGGCCTCTCACACCTGGGCCACCCCATCCACACCCTAGTCAAGTACCCACTCTTTGTGGAGCATACCTGCTGGCTGGCACAACCCCAGGGGCCACAGGAGGGCAAGAGAAGCTCACATTCTGAGACTGGCTTGAGAGGCAAGATTAGCCTAAGAGATAGTAAGGTTGTATGGCACTGATCCTAAGTTGGAGAGGCTGCGATTTGTGTGGACTCGGGAATCCTTGTGTGTCCTTGGCGGGGGGCCTGAAGGACAAGTTAGATTTTGACTTGTGGAGAGAAGAGGGAAGACATTACTGTTTGAAAGAATAAAAGCAAAGACACGCTCTTTTCGACCTTGTCCTACCCCAAATATAACTTCATAGAACCCTCATTTTTATAACTGAGGACTCTAAAAACCAAGAAGTTAAGGGGCCTTACACAGGTAGTGGAGAGGTGTTCTGCTCAATGGTAGATTCATGTGGGAGCTCCAGATTTACAGCTCTTCACATTTCAAAGTGACACTGCGAGAGATTAAAGGTGCAAAATGAGGGTCCTGAATGACTTCACAAAGTGGGAATGATGGGCCCATTTTAATATGAAATTCAAAACAAATTCATGACAACATGATATAATAATACCTAATCACTACAATCCCCTCTCCCCTAGAAGTAAAAATCATTATACCCCTCTCTCCCACCACCATGAAAGGATGAGATGTAGACTTAGCAGCAGCCTAGGTGAGAAACGTGGGTCAACACTGTGAAGAGGTGTTACTAAAAGATAATTTGGTCCAACTTGGAGAAGAAAGAGACAACTCTGCCCTTAGTCCAGGCTTACAGGAAGGAACCATATTTGGGGCAGCCTTTGATAGTGTGGCCATGAAGAGAGAACCTTCCTTAGGAGGTGGTGCCTTGTCGCTGACCTTGAATACGCAGGGATGGGACATTTGTTTACTGAGGCTGTTGCAGAGGGGATGTGCCCAGGAGGTAAAGGCTTCTTGGGCTACTGTCTGGAGGTTGGACAACCCTGGTTGAGAATCGTAGCACCTTCTCTCTACTTCTAAATTGCTTGAATTAGCGTGGTACGTGTTAGGACAGATGAAGTCAGGCCTAATTAGAGCAGACTGCCTTTGGGAGTGGTAGGAGGTAAAATGTTAAGGGGCAGGCTCTGGAGGTTTGTCCTGGCAGGGCCAGCATGAGACCACTCAGTTTCTCCAAGCCTCCAGAAATTACTTGTCTGGAAGCATCCCTTTGATGTGGTGGCGGTACTGATACCTTACCAGGACTGTGCTGGGCTTCTGGGAAAGGGAGAATAAACGGCTTATCAACTTAAAAGGGCTTGAGACTCAGCCAGGGATTCCACAAAACAACTTAAAAAGACTTGTACATGGATTTTTGGGCCAACACTTGGAAAACATATCCAGATCTGGAATGGAGCTCAGGAATCTACACTTTGAACAAGCTTCCTGGGCAGTTCTACCATAGTGGTCCATGGATAGTGACACTTTTGAGTCAGTGGGCAATATTAAAAACTGCACCATCCTCCAACAACACATAAAAAAGATTATACATCATGACCAAGTGGGGTTCATCCCAGGGACACAAGGCTGGTTCAACATACGCAAATCAATCAATGTAATCCATCACATCAACAAGAGAAAGGACAAAAACCACATGATCATCTCAATCGATGCAGAAAAAGCATTTGATAAAATTCAACACCCATTTATGATAAAAACTCTC